AGGGCAATCCTAGCAGAACGGATCGCCAATTGTGAACAAAAATGTTCGTGAATATTACTGACCGCAAAAGACGCTCATCGCGAAGTGTCTTGTATATACTTGAAAATATATATTTGAATGTATTTTGTGCACACTAGGGCACACACACAATTAGTTTTATTTTTAGTCCTCGTTCGACATAGTCATAAATGGTGACTTGGGTTTTGGGTTACGTCTATCTGTTTATCCTCATTTCTTCAACATGTCTTCATTCGTTGGTTGATACAAAGCAAAGTCATAATGGGATACGTGTGCAGGTCAAATCAACATACAGTATGTCATGACCATTTCTGAGGCATGCCTTGACGGATTTTATTCAAACTTGACATGCATGTAATTGAATGGTAGTTGATATCCGAACAGCCCAGACATGATTTTTGTTCGGATATACAAACATTTCGATTGTGCAAACTTAGGGGCAGGACATTTTGGAATGAGCGATGTTTAGTGGAGATCGATTTACGTCGGATACTTGAATGAAACACCAGGGCAATAGTATAGCTGTATTTATTCTGTTTAATGACAAGCCATGCATGGCACAGTCTCTACTAGTTATCAAATTTAAGATATATATGGAATATAAACATATCAGAGATATGGCTCCAGAAGCTGATGCATGATTATGATTTTTTAACATTAAAATGACATTCAGTCATCTTGTATGGGTATCTGATCGTCAAATATGTAGTTGTCCATATTGAGAGATATTGCTCTGGAACAAAATTAACAAGCAGTCTATCGGCTGAGCTAATTGAACAGAAGATATCATTAGAAAATGAACAATATGTATAGTATCAATGCAATGGGACTTGCTGTTTTCAACAAGAATTCAAAAATATAATTTTTAACCATAAATGATTGTGGTTTTTAACAAGAAGAAAATATCACTTTTTACCAAAAATATTCATCAAAATTAGAGAATTGAAGATATCATGAAATGAACAAATTTGAGAGTGGTCCATATGTAGTATCTATATATGTAATATCAAAGCAATTGGACTTGTGGTTTTTAACAAGAAGTTGAAAATATCACTTTTTACCAAAAATGACAAAAATATTCACCAAAATTAGAAAATTAAAGATATCATCATGAAATGAACAAATCTGAGAGAGATACACATGTAGTACCTATATATGTAATATCAAAGCAATTGGACTTGCGGTTTTTAACAAGAAGTCGAAAATATCACTTTTTATCAAAAATGACAAAAATTATCACCAAATTTAGAGAATTAAAGATATCATTACAAATTGAACAAATCTTAGTGAGGTCCACATGTAGTATCTATATTTGTAATATCAAAGCAATTGGACTTGCGGTTTTTAACAAGAAGTCGAAAATATCACTTTTTACCAAAAATATTCACCAAATTTAGAGAATTAAAAGTAAAACATTGACACGAACGATGGACACCGGACGATGACGACGGACAATCACTCATACGATAAGCTCTGCTCGACAAAGCTCGACAGCGGAGCTAATTAAAACAAAATGGCCACCAGTAGGCCATTTTGAATCAGATAATCAAACCAATACATCTGTATATCTATGACATAATGTATAATAAATATATATAATGTGAACATAATCAGTCAAAGCATGTCTGAACCACATTCACTAAAACAAAATGGCCAACAGTCCAAACCGATCTGAAAATGACATGCATCAAGGTCCTATAATGTCCAATGTATGTACCAAGTTTGAAATCCAACTGTAAACAGCCAAGATCCGGTTTCGAAATGCCAAAAATGCTTAATTTTGATGATTTTTCAGCACAAAAATCACTGCCATTCTGCCATCTTGAATCAGACTGTGAAACAAATTGATGTGCATATGTATAATGTTATGTATGATGCATGTATGAAATTTGAATGTAACCAGTCCAGGCATGTCAGGTGTCATATGTCTAAGATACAGGTCCAAAGGGAAGTAGACATGGACGCACGCACAGATTTATGCAGAGGTCAATCCATAAGTCTCTGTTTTCGGACTGCGTTCGATTGGAGACTAAAAATAATTTTCACAGCTAGGTTGATAATGAGTTGAAACCAACGTCTTAGGGGGTTGGTGATCAGTGATTTGAGGTGCCTGTCATGTAAAAAGACTGACTTACACATGTACTTAATTACCAGGTGGTAATCTTTCCCTTCCTTAATTTTACGTTGAGTAAAACCATCCAACATTCAAGCAATCAATTGTACAACACACTTTCAATGAGCAATGACCTAACAAGTGGTCGGATACACACCGTAGTGTCTGGGGACATAACACATGCTCAGATTACTGAACAATTTGGATATTTGACGTTGGGTTATATACAACGTTTTACTGTAGTACATACAGAAAATAGAAACAGTGAATTTTGTCACCTGATTGGTTGAAAAATGCACTAATGGGAGCAATATACTTCACCACTCTCACATTTGAGGGCAGTATTCAATTTGACAAAATTTGCAGGGATGGGGGTGTGTGTGTGTGGGTGGGGGGTAATGATCAAAACGAGAAATAGATATCGTGCATTCTTGCTATCAACACAGCACACATTTACTGAATAAAGACAACCAAACTCAAATCAGTTTGAAATCTAAAATATTGCATTTTAATTTTGTAGACAAATACACCAGCGATTTCATATATTTTAACACACTGAACTGAGAAATGCAATGTGCAATCTTTGTACACTACAAAGCTGGCAATAATGAATACATTGCTAATACCTACTAAGACCCATTCCAAACAATAATCCTACAGCTACTGAAAAAAAAAAAAAAAAAACATTGCACGGTTTTTGTTTTCGGGAGGTTTTGGTCTGGCAAGTTGAAAGTTCAAAGATGAAATTTCAGTGATTACTATAAAGTGAAAAAACAGTGAGAAAAAAAGAAAAGAAAAAACCTCTCCCTTAAAAAAAAAAATCATTTTATAAGAAAGAGGGGGGGGGGGGGTTTCAAGACTCTTGCAAGTTTCACCTTACTGCCACAAAGCTTTGAAAGCATCAGTGAAATACAAAAATAGTCTTCACACTCCCACAACTAAACGGTCCACAACAGGATTTCACTCGTTATTAAAACAGAAGAGAAGACTTGCCAATTTGGTTATCAGACAATTATACACTCAAATTATGCTACCATGATTATCTACACATATAACAATTACCATGGCAACTCAAATCAGTACTGATTATACGTTTTAAATGGCTAAGGTAAAAAAAAAAATTTGTTTCTGGTCAGCGTGCACATGAGTTTTTTTTACTGATTTCTGGCAAAATATTGAAAAACATGAGAAGAAAAAATTGCCCCAAAGAAAAGCGCATCTTTGCATCCACTTTTATAAATTTTAAGACCAGTAGCAAATCTTTTTTTCTTTCTTTTTTAGCCAAGCAAACAGACACTGCTCTATTTTGCTTTGCAAAAATCGGAGGCAATCAAGTCGGTTTACAGTGTAACCAAAGTGATGCAATGATTTCATAAGCACTGAAGTACGGAAGAAAAAGTAACACTATATAAATAAAAAAAAAAAACATTATTAAAAGCACCAATATTTACAGCAGTGTTGAGATTTGAACAGAAACTGATCAAAAAAGAACTAAAATGATTCTGAGTGAGTGTATGGCACCAATACAAAGAAAACATCTTCATGGTATGAACATCCCATTTTTTTTAAGAGAATCAAACAAACAGGTAAGTGAAATAAGTGCAGTAGTCACTCCAACATCACCACCCATCAACAGTTGGAGTTCAACCAACAATGTTCTATCATACTGTTTGAAAACACTATTTTAAAACATAATTCCACTATAATTTGCCTAGAAAAGACAAAAATGAAATACAACATTAGTGATTCATATATGACAGGTGTATTCCTTTAATATTGTACCACTAAAGAACCTGATGTGTTTTCCATGCTGTCCAGGACAGCACAGCACACTCTAGGTATTGTACCACTAAAGAACCTGATGTGTTTTCCATGCTGTCCAGGACAGTGCAGCACACTCTAGGTATTGTACCACTAAAGAACCTGATGTGTTTTCCATGCTGTCCAGGACAGTGCAGCACACTCTAGGTATTGTACCACTAAAGAACCTGATGTGTTTTCCATGCTGTCCAGGACAGTACAGCACACTCTAGGTATTGATCAAAGTAAAACAATTTGAATGAACTATGAGCAATAGAAAACAGAGACTGGGTTTAACAACCAGCATATAGGCTAGAAAACTCTAAAAATTGCAATTTTCTTGTGTACATACATATTCGTTTTCTCGATGTCTAAAAATGAACCTAATTATAATGTTCTAATTTTATAACTTCATCAATAGAATTCTCTTCACAATTAAGATATATCAAAATATGAGCCATGTGTGTCTGATCACTTTATACCCACAGTCACAAGTCTTTAAGTCTTCAAATGAAATGTACTCATTATGACAGTTTAATAGGGAAGATCACCTGGCAACCATCTCCAACCTCTTTGATTAAAACATAACACATCATCACTTCTTTCTGTAAGAGTTCCTTGGGGCCCCCTCCCCTATAACTTTAATCCTAACCCTGCCCCTCCATTTTCCCTCCTCCATTTCAATTATACATTGGGATCACTTAGAATTATATGCAGGGGCATATTGAATTACAATGGGAGCTAAGATTAGGGTTTGGGTTAGGGGACCTTCAGGAACTCTTTCCCTTCTTTCTAACAATTCCACATAATATATTTGTTTTCAATCCGATATTTACAAGTTGTGAGACATTACTAAAAGCACAACATCATTGAACAACCCACTGCAGGGATGAGCATATTAAAATATAGTGCAGGTGTACCTATGCAATCTCCAATACAAGTCTAGACTACAAAGCTCTCAGACACACACACTGCTCCTGCAAAAGTGGCACAAAAAATAAAATGACAAAAAAAAAATATTTGCTTATGTTCACTGTAAATGCTGCGTAAAAAAAAATGTAAGCATTTTCCACTTATTATAATAATTAGCATGATGAAATTAAACCTAGATTTGAAATGGACACCTGGGTATTGAAGTCACCTGCTGAGTGTTCTGACCAATAGCGTTGTAAAGAAGTTTACAAGTAACGCCACATTAGTCACTGATTGGACCCAATCAAAGTACATTAGTTTACACAATAATTAGTCATAGAACTATGGATTTTAAAATGATTAGGCTGACACAAAATAGAAGCATAAATATCAGTAAATATAATAAACTAATTTTTTTGCCAGAATAGATCACTTTTACGTTAAAGTTGTTTATTTAATATGTGCATCACAAGTCGGTGTTAATAAAGTACAGCATTACTGGCGGTAGTTGTAATGGGATGGGATATGTACAATAATGACAATATTTATTACTGCTAAAAAAATTACAAAATGGTTCCTAACAGGAAAAACATTCTGGGGTAGGGGGAGTGTCGGCCTTGATGTAAACTTGATGCTTTATATCTCAGTGCCTGGTATGAATAGAATTGACGGAAAAGAGGGCACAGATTATGCTAGACAAAAAGCATTGCCTTATAGTGTATATACATCTATATATTCTGTATGATCACTGCTATAAAGCTGACAGTTGGCGGTTACATTACCAATAATTATCATTGCACAATTACAGCATTGGTTTGGTAAATTTCAGTCAGTTTTCTGATGCATGTACAATGAGAATAGTGTTGTGGTGCACACTGTCTGTGTGTGACATCTCCAAGAGTAACGATGGCATAATGCAAGCTAAATAAAGCTTGACATATACATATTATACCATTTAATAAAGTTTACTTCTATGGATCTAAAATAACATACTTTGCCTTCTACCACGACCTGAGCCTGGAAAAGAAAATAGAGATAAAATTAATTTTATTATGAATATTAGGGATAATAGCTATAAACTCAGGTATGCTATCAGAATGAGTTTACAAAAATAGTACCAGTAAATAGTTCAACTGAAAACTCCATGGTGAAGTTCTTCCTTTAAGTTGCGAGTCATGAGCTGTATTATCCACTCACTTTCGGTTCATGGATCTAAGAACAAGTGACATCAGGTGATAACCTCATAATATCACACGACCATCAGATCACATATACATGCATGAAGGTAATAATGATGATAGGTCAAAATACACCATCCATTATCAACAATGATGTAAAATGATGAGCTCACCTGAATGCGGAAAAATAGATGACCTGTAACCTGGATCCTTGTTAAGCTCTATTTCATTCAAAACAAAAATTGATTGTACTGAAAATAAATCATCAGATCTGAGTTAGTAAATAATACAACAATGTGACATCGTCTTGTAGTCAACAATAATTACAATCTGTCAAGAAAACAAACAACTAGACTGCACAGGGATTCATCGTAAGAAAACAAAATGGTATTAATATTTCATATTGATATATTATCTGTTTCTCAACCGTAACAATTGTGGGCACTACAGTAGAAATATGTTTAGGTGCCACACAACAGGCAAACTACACTACTTGAAATATACACAATATGGACCACAGAGAGTGGTATCTTAGCAACAAAATAATATTGCAAGGCTTCTATGATTAAGTATGTTCATTCTTTTACTTTATAATCTAGTAAATTGTCACTCCATCAATTGCCAGTTATTTATTTTGAATAACAAGCATTTATGAGAAGCAATATTACTGGGGGTATATAATAATTATTCCTGCATTCAGTATTCATTATTGCCATCTCTTGATTATAAACTCACCATCAGATATTTCATGTATTCTCGTTCCTAGGCACTTGAAGAAAGGATGTTTCATAGCATCTCGAGCAGAGATTCGGTTTATACCTTCAAACTGAAAAAAAAATAAAGAGGAGACTCAAGTAAAAATTTTTACCAATTATAAATCATACTGTTTTAAAATCCAACCAGAAATGATTTAGGCTATACTGGTAAACTGTGTTCACATAGAAAGATAAAAGTGCAAGGCACCCTGTCAAAATCTGCTACTCTTTGTGAAGGTATGAGTGTTTCAAAGACAGTAGTTGCTGACTGTGCATCTTGAATATTATTACCTGTAATAACTTCTTAAGTAAATCTATTCCATCAGGGTCTATCCTAGGTGAATGATTTATAAGCGGTTCTGGATCATAGTATGGGAAACTATATGACTGAAATTCATCATTGAAACTTATTCCTGGCCAAGTGTCTTCCGTAGGAGTTCCTAAAAGTTTCCAGATCAAATGGAGTTCATCCTCCACTGTGGAGCCTGGAAACAATGGTCTACCTGCTGCCATTTCGTAAAATATACATCCAACGCCCCTGGAATGAAACACAATGACGATTAAATTTGCATTTCATCTTGTTTCATGCATAAAGATGTGTGAGGAAGTAGTTGTTGTTTGCAGTTGAATGCAAATCTGTAGGCGAGAAAAGAAAATATCATTGTGATCAATTGATCTTATTGTTTTTGAAATTATCATATTACTGTTGTACAATCCTTCATATAATTTTAAATATTTTTAGTAAACACTTCTATTTCATGATTGTATAAAAGAATTGTGGAAAACAATGACACAAAATTCCTCTGATCTGACACATAATTTTTCGAGGGAGGTGCTAGATAAGCCCCCCCCCCAAAAAAAAAACAACAAACAAAACAAACAAAAACACGATTTACTGAGCTCAGTACCCTGGGTTCTAGTATGGTACATCATAGTCTGTATGATAGTATAATGAAACAATGACGAGAAAAACATACAATAGTAATGTATATATCACTATTCACATTAAAGCACTAGTGCTTACATGTATGTTATGCATCTCAATTGGAGATGTGCTTCTAATAGAGGTAATATTGTATATATCACTATTCACATTAAAGTACTAGTGCTTACATGTATGTTATGCATCTCAATTGGAGATGTGCTTCTAATAGAGGTAATATTGTATATATCACTATTCACATTAAAGCACTAGTGCTTACATCTATGTTATGCATCTCAATTGGAGATGTGCTTCTAATAGAGGTAATATTGTATTTGATGGGAAATGACACATGGGGGGGGGGGGGGGGTTTGAAGGTTTGTAGAGTGTACTTACCACATGTCAATATGCGTAGAATACTCTGTAGATCCCAGTAAAACATCAGGTGGTCTATACCACAATGTAACGACTTCATTGGAATAGGTCTTAGTGGGAACTGACTTGGCTCTTGCTAGACCTAATGATAACAATGATAATATCGTAAAATAGATAATGAAGCAAGAATCACTTACACAATGCTGCTGCAATAAATAAATAATTATCAATACTAACATTCAAATAGACATATTAGGAAGTATGACTGTATCTAGCATGGTGTGCAATAGAATTAATTATCAAGATATGGATGGAATAGCGCCCTCTATGGTGCATGATTGTCTGAAGATATTACACTGTGTGTAGTTCAGAGATTGAGACAATGGTTTGCATAACTAATGAATATTTTAACAGGAAATTTTAACAGACATCTCCCTACCAAGGAACATGGCTATTGTTGATCTCAGCGGTAATAATCTGTATAATTCTTAAATTAAGTTTTAATTTGACTGTCACTTTGCATCATAAAACAGCACTTCTTACTTTATATACAGGTATTATGTTAAGCCAATGAAATTTTTGAAGATTTCATTTATATTGTCTGAGAGTGGAAACAACTTCTATTTTATTTATGATAGTCATAGTTATTAAGGCAGCATCTCAGTTTACCATAAACTCAATTAAATCAGGCGTCAAGTGCAGAAATATAAAGGGACATACAATACTCAATTTTAAAATGAAAAATAATAATTCAATACTCACCAAAATCGGCTAATTTTAACTCTCCTTTTTCATTGATAAGGAGATTCTGGGGTTTTAAATCTCGGTGTAGAACCCGACTTTTATGGCAGTAAGCCAAGCCTCGTAATAATTGATACAAAAATAACTGCAGAAAGAAAGTGAGAGAGAGAATAAAGTAATTGAGTTGCGATGAATTTGTGTGGATGATAGTGAGAGAGAAATTATTGTTGGTGACAGGAAATCCTTTTAAAGTAAGATACAACTAGATGCTAGGCAGCGAGTACCTATAAATATTTATTCATTTCAAGTAATGGTTTGCTATCTGTTTCATCTCAAGTTATAAACTTCAAAATTAATGAGATTGTCAAAATAGATCATATAAAGGCAACAAAACATAATCCCATTACTAGCAGTAAAAATAAAGAATTTAGTAAAATATATGTTGTGGTGTTTTATTGCAGTAGTCGGTTTATAATGCAATGACAGGATGTAGCATTTGAAACTTAAATTTATTGTTTCATTAAAATACCATAAAACTCCAAAATTTATGGTATCTTTCGCTTCAAAATCTAGCTTATCAATAGATTGTCTGTCTGTCTGTAAAAACCCTTGCTGTATTGCTAGTGATGAGCTGGGGTAATTATTGAATTTTGCATTCATTGTAAAGCCTTGTGTCAATGTCTTCAAAGTCAGTAATTACACAAAGTGTACATGTTTTAACTGAATGTTGGTCTCCATCCATTTTACACTTACCATAACATTGTTCATGCTCATAATATTTCCACAATCATCCATATATTGCTTCAAATCTTTCTCCTGTCAGACAAATGTTAGGAATAAATAGTTTTTTGTTTTTTTGTTTTTCTTTTGTTACATTTAAAAACACTTAGATACTGAGTTCAAAATGAATATTTTAGAGGAAAAGTATGAAAAGGATTCAAAACAAAAACAATTCATTGCAAATATCGCTGTATATGTAAGGAATGGATTTGATTAATTAAATTCAGGATAATGGACAACATTATCTATACATAAAACATTAAATGTATCTTAAAACAACCACACGTTAGTAAATTGCATACATAGATGTCTATCCACCCCTGTCAGTGTTGCTATGATGAACCCCAATGCTGTCACATCTAGAAAATCCCTCCTTGACACCAATCACACCATTAAACTGAGATTCATGACAATGCCTCCACAATGCATGCTTTAAATCTAGTTGGAAGTGACAGTACTGTCATATGTAACACCCTGTAACTAACATAGTTGTGTGGCTACACGGAATACTGGCACTTACACAGTTTGACTGTCAACTAACACACTAGCAAGCGCACATATTTTACTGCAAAGTTTGATAGGATTTAGCACCACAGATGGAAATGTGTTAACACCCAGTGCATATATACAGGGCATAAGTGAAAATTAATACACTAGTAAAGACACCCTATCAAATGCAGTAACACTAACATTGTGTTAACAAGTTTGTTACCAAGTACTGAGCAATCACAGACGATCAACATTCAGTGTTTTCTCATAACATAGTCTTGTCTCAATGACAGTATCGATCAAAATACCATTTATGCTTTGTAAAAGCCTAGCACTCACAGAACACAGTGCGAGAACGGTATACTTAAAAATGCACTAAAAACTACTTCTACGGACTGAAATGCAATTACTATTCAATTTCCAATTCTGTAACTTTGAGATATAAAACTAATGTTACTAACAGTACACACTTGACTGCATTCAATTACAGATAAATAATTAATTTTGTTCTCCTTCAAGAATATGAAGAAGGCTTTTAAAAAAAAAACATTACTGTTTTCTTTTACAAGGAAGCTAACATAATGTGAATACTAATTGCCAAAAGTGCCTTGGCAAACAGAAATCGTAGTGAGAGTTTTAAACAATCCACATAGGTAAATAAAGTACAAATATAGCAGAATAGCTTTAGAACTTACCAAATATTCAAAAACCAATGTAAGCGCATTTGGTGTATGAATAATATCATGTAATGTAACTATGTTGGCGTGCTTGAGCTCTTTAAGGAGTGAAACTGTGAAATGCAAATAATATCATTACACATTAAATTAAAAATCATGAAAATCAATAAATTGCAGATACAAAAGTACCCGTAATTGTCATGACAAAATTTGTATTCAGTATAATGGAAAAATTGATTTCAGAATTCATAAATCAGAGGACTTTTCATTTCACTATCCAAAAATACCCCCTGAAGTCAGCTCTAATCATTTTCTAGTTCTGATCTTGCATGAGTCAACCTTATCCAACTGGACTTGTTCGCCCCAACCTTGACCTTAACTAACTCAAGCTAAACTCACTAAAACTGGGTCAACTTGACACAACCTGACCTGAATAGATCCACGTAGACACAAACTGATTCAATCCAACTTAATGTAACCAAAATAAGCCAAATTTACATACCCTGACCCAAACTAACTCAACTTAATACAAATTGACCCAACCTCACCTTACTATAATTTAAACTGACTTAACTTGATGCTGGACAACTTAAAAAGATTCACCCTGGCCCACCCTGACCATACTGAACTCACTTCACCCAAACTAATTCAACTTGACACAACAAGACCTAACTGAACTCAACAGGTAATACAAACTGACCAAACTTGTCACATTACGAGATCTTGGGATGTGCCAACATTTTTAATACTTCATGTTTGGAGAGGGTTAAATTCACTTAAATTCTCTTAAATTCACCACCGAGGGTGTGATATTGGTTAATGCCGAGCGCTCAGGCAGCAAATCTCGGCATATGCCAAGTTTTGGTCCCAAGCATCTATAGAGACCGAGAACGATTTTTTTTTCCACACATACCGACTCGACCCCAACCATTCACACACAAGTTTCGGCACATGCAGACTCAGCCCCAAGACTCTGGGCCGAGTCGCCACATGAACACCAAAACTGACCCAAATCGATTCCACCTGAATTAACATGACATGGCTTGAACCAGATGTACTCATACTGACTCAATCCAACATGATACAAAGTGACCCAACAAGACACAATCTGATTCAAGATGAATACAAACATTTGTTGTGAGAGAAGGCACACTGATAATCAGAAATGACAATGTCACATACCTTCTCGTATTGCTGTACACGGAGCGCCTTCTTCATGTTCCAGTCTAATTTCCTTCAGCGCTACTAGACTATCAGTCAGTTTACTTTTACCCTTAAAAACTGTTGCATATGTACCTTCACCCAGCTTGTCTAATTTGGTGTACGTTTCTAGTTTTCCAAAACCAATTTCAGACTGAAAGAAAGATGACAAAATAATAGCAAACACCAGATTGGAATTTACAGGTGTTTTTTAGCGTGCAGGTGCAGAGTTCTGAAATTCATTAAACTATAAAAGTCAGTTTATTTCCTATTATGTGGCTGTTGCATGTTGATTTATTTAATTATAGCAGCTATGTCATAATGTGTATTAAAGTGTATTAGATACAATTTTCGTATGTGTACAGTGAAAAGAATCACCTGACCATAATTGACCAATCACATGATGATAATTACAGGATAGTATTCTCAAAGACAAAGCTACGTCACAATCCCCCAAACATTGTCAGGACCAATCAAAAACAAGAATAGACAATAAATTTTCAGATTAACACCTCTGTTTTCCCCCTTGCTAAATGCTAACCAACTTTTCCATCCCTATGCCAACGAAAAAATCTTTTGTCTTCTACTGACTTCCTGTTCCAGTCCTTCTTTGAGAATATAATACAACTATAGATGAGTTTAATAACTATCCAGTGATCATACTAAACTAATCAATGTAAAGTGTTTATGAACATAAAATGTCAGCAGGATGGCAAAGTCATAAACTTGAATACTTTGTAGTGTTTGGCAGTAAAAGTATGGTGAACATTGTACATGGGAACTAAAAACTACTTAGCATAGACGTCAAAATAATAACCAGTATTTCTAGAAATACTACACAGCAGTTAAAAAATGATTTGATTTTCTCTATAACTTATTCTTCTTTATTTGTTCAATCTCTTGTTAGTATCTTTGTTATTCTTTGTATTTTTATTTCACTCTCTATTTCTGTGTTGTATCAATATATACATGGAAATTAGTTAAAATAACTTTATCTAGAGGCTTATCATAAAAACATGTACAGTAGTTGGAAATTAGTGATTTCATCTAATGAATTAAATCACCATGACATACTTAGGCTCTGAAATAAAACTTTAATGTTTTCAGTTTCCATGTACAACTCAAATAATAACTGGATACTATTATGTTTATTTGAATTTACAGAATGTGAAAAAAAAGAATAAAAAATAAAAGTTCAAATAAAATACACAACTTTTATCATGTTAACTGTAGCAAAATTGCCATAGATCGTACACTTCTCTCAATCAAATATCATGATAAGATTAGGAAATTAAAATACAAATCTAAAGTATTGGTTCCAATATTAAATTTTAATGTAAAAAGTAAAATATTTCCCAAAGACTTTTATGTTAGTATGATTTCCTGACATAAAATTTAAATAACTTAACCATAGCGTCACCAAGTTAGATTACGATAACAGAAATGTTAACAAGCAGTCGAAAATATCATTTTTTACCAAAAATGACAAAAATATTCACCAAAATTAGAGAATTGAAGATATCATTACAAAATGAACAAATCTGAGAGAGATCCACATGTAGTACCTATATATGTAATATCAAAGCAATTGGACTTGGGGTTTTTAACAAGAAGTTGAAAATATTAC